CTTTCTTTCTTTCTTTCTTTCTTTCTTTCTTTCTTTCTTTCTTTCTTTCTTTCTTTCTTTCTTTCTTTCTTTCTTTCTTTCACAAAATATGTAAAAGATACTAAAAGAAGAACAGATCATGCTAGTTGTTTGTTAGCCTTTGCAGTGGTCAAATTCTTACAGATCAGATCTTCTCAAACCAAACATTTTTTTTTTGGAACACATTTTAAATAAGTTACTGGGGAGAACTTTTAGGGATGCAATAATTTTACAATAAATATAATGTATTGATTTATATAATAGCTCACAATATCAAATCATTTGTCGGAGAAAACATACAGTGATCATATTAACAGCATCATGACCAATGGAGCTAAATGTAAACATATATTCTTGAGGCAGGCCGACCTGCAGAACGATTCATTAAATGGTGAGTACAAAACATCCTTCTTGGTCACGCATCATATATGGCATTCATATTAATTTAATGTATATGATTTTGTTTTAATGGCCATAAATGCATTTGTTATTGTAGTCTGTAACCCTCTGCGTGGTGATTAATAAATAAATCAATATACAATTATTTAATGCGACCCAAATAGGATTTTATTTCATTTTATTTTATTTTATGCCACAGGAGAGCAGACGGAAGTTGTGCAGTTTTTTAAGATGTGCGACTCAAAGCATAAAGCAACGTTTTTATGTAACCTACTGGTAATTTAGCGCAACCAATGAGGCATATTTACCTAAATATACCTCATTGAGCGCAACTTCATGCCAGGGGTCCTTCAGGCGCACTCAGGGCTTCCCTAGCAGAGCTATGAAGGAAGATTTTGGAGGTAGGTGCCGAAGCCGTTTATAATTATATTTATGCCAAAATAAAAGAAAAAAGTACACATAACACCTGTCACATGTGTTAAAGAAGTTTTAATGTATTTTTGAGAAGATTCTCTCTGTTTTTGTGTCAAATTAATGACTTTACTAACAAGATCTGCGCTGGTTAGCATGCTAAGCTAACAGAAGCTAACGCTCGCTAGTGGTTTCTTGTTTATGCAATTTAACAAACACTGATGGAAGTTTGTGTGTTGTTTAATATACCATGTAAGCTCAAATGTGTATTTTTATATAAGAATCTGTTCTATACATGTTTTATTGGTGTTTATTGGCAGTTGGCTGTTGTAACCAGTTGCACTTATTTTTAGTGTATTGTTTTACATTGTTGATTGTGTTTTAAATGTTTTAAGGAAAAAGAAAGATATGTTTTGCTCTGAAATGTAAAATTGTTAAATGAATATATCTAGAAAAGAACAAAAATAACCACTATACGATGACATTTTAAAAGAAAGATAACTATGATGGAAGCTGGTGGAGACTCATGTATGCACTGATGGAAATGTGTGTGCTGTTTATTATGAACCCTAAATCTCTACAGATCTCTACATTAAAGACCTTTGAAGAGCAGTCCTGTGGTCTGTGACTCGGTTAAGAAAAAAACACTTGGTCATCCAGGCAGCGAGAAACGTTGCAGAGGGCTACAACTGCAGTCGCATTTCATCTGACGTCTACATCGGTGAGGTGGGGGTAAGTGGATTGATTCAATAATAATGACACTAACCTCGAGTCGTGCAGTTTAAATCTTGGAGCCCCACACGTCTTCAGCTACTGAATAGAAGTCCAGTTGCCAGTTTGACCACCATGTGGAGGCAGTGCTTATAAGGCTGAGTTTACCTGAAACTCCTTAGACTGAAGAAGTCTCAGAGGAGAGACTAAATATTTCATTAAAGAAGAACCCGTCCAGAGGCCCAGCTTAATGTTTTTAACGTATTTTTTTGATCTACCTGGATTACTGAGATGCATCRGGACATTTAGTAGTAATGTTTATATACGGAATTATTTTTTTATTTAAAATGCCTTAAAAAGCATATCCAGAATAAATAATTAATAATATTAGCTTGGGAGCTAATGTCACATATGGCCGTAGGCCATCAGTAGCATGGATACGTTTCATTTAGTAAACAAAGGGGCAGAAATGGCTCTTTTGATTGTAAAGGTTGCAGACCTCTGGTTTATAGCATCCAAGCATCTGACAGTGATTTGCTGARTCTCTGAAATTGCCCGATGGCTCTCCTCCTTTAGGACCCTAAAAGGCAGCCAATCGCTGCCCACCGGTGCTCTGCTGTTGACAATTATAGGTCAGCATGTCACAGCCTCATTGTCTTCTTTTTGAATGGCTCAGCTCCTGCTAACACCTCACTTACCATTTTAAGTGAAGCTGAAACCCCCAGGAACAGCAACTACACAGTTACCTAAATTCATTTTGTATTKTTTTAACCAAGATCAAAGAACTAAATTTATTGTCAAGTTTTGTTTAAGTGTGTGCGATACGCTAAAAACATATCATTTATCCCGAGCATGTATTTTTTTGAAAGTTCATGTTATTTTTATAACTTTTTTTGTCAGTTTAATGCGTGGCCTTCTGACACAAAAACACTCCTGCTTTAATTTGTAGTCTCATTGGGAAAAGAAAAGGCTTTACAAAGGATGTTTTATAAATGCTCTGTGGTGGGTTTATTGATTAATGCACACATGGCTTCACACATGTAATCATATTGAATTCTGTTCACAYTCAGCTCTGCATCAGTACAGGAGTATTACTGATGACTACTCATCTTATAATCAATACTATTGATACAGCTGAATATATTTGAACACTGTAGACCAAGACCCCACCTTGTTGTTTCTGGACCTACAGGGGGTTTAGACCCCAACTTTGGGAACCAATGCTGTAGATTATAAATGCCACTTAATGCCACTATTATAATGGTTTTGTGTTCCTTGACTCTTATATCTCAGTTTCATTAAACTTATATTCAGCATGATGAAATTCCTCTGATTTTTAAAGTTCAATCAAGTCTTTTAAACTACATGTGACTGATGCAAAAAGCTGTCATTATCACTGGCTACCTTTTGATGTTTATGTCACATATAAACATTCATTTTAAATTAGTCTCTTAAATATTATCTTCTGCTAAAATCCCAACAGGTTCTCACTTAAAAATCAACAGATATCCTCTCTGTAGTTTTRTCTTCTCTGAACCTCCTGACACTTTCTAGAAATACTGTGAGTTTAGTGAAGTAGYTGCCTGTCTTTGTGGCTTTGAGATTATTAACGCCTCAGTGACCACACAGCAGCTCAAAAGAGAAACTCCTGACGGGGTCAGCTCAGTCGTCAGAGACCTGGCCTTCTTACTGGCCTCTARCACAGTGATAACACCGCACAGATCCTTTGAGTAAAAGGAGAAGAGGGTTGAGCTTCACTGACGTGAAGCTGAAGGAAATTCATCAATGATCTCTGTGAAGTCCAGGATGTGTTTTCAGATAGTCTGTGCCACGTACAAAACTGATGAATGTGTTGTTTTCTGTGACTTCATTTGATCTTTTCACTCACATGCAGACAGATTTAGCTGATTTTACACATTTGCAAAGTGTTCTGCAGACAGAACTGACAAAAAACCTTAGATCTCTGACTCCTGTCACACGTGGGCTTTAATATGTTATTTCTTTATTCTACTAAAAGTTGTTGTTTGGCCCCCACCAAAAAAAGGGGTGGGGGGGGGGGGGGGGTGACACAAGAAGAAGGGCTTAACCGGGAAAATACAAACTCTTCTTCGGTGTGTGAAGTTCTGGTGATGGGAAAGTTATGACCCTGACGATACATTAGCCTACGGACTGGTGCACTCTCTTTGTTCCTGACTTGTGAGATAAAGCTAATGTGGCTGAAGCCGGACACTTTATAGAGTAATCCGGAGGGAAGTTTTGGCTCTTTGACAGGGGATTGAATTTGGAGACACTGTTGTGATTTTTTTCTCTACTGAGGTTTTAAAAAGAGCAAGAAAAGTTCAAAATTCAGAGTAAATCCCAAACACGTGCACTGTTAAGAGAAGACTGTTGGCAGATGTTAGTTTTTTTTCTTAATGTCACCTCCTTCTGCCCAGTTTGGTATTCCCTTCCAGCCTCCCCCCTGCCTGTGTTTGTGCTGCTTTTGTTTTTATGACCACTCCAGTGATCCGTCGCCTCTGCAGAGTTGTTGGTGTTAACACAGCTGAGGGGAATTACTCAAACTGTTGTTGTTGCTTCTTACCTGGCTTCAGGCTCTCTTCAGGCTRCAGGAAGTTTTTGCTGCTCACTTTGGGTTCTGAACTTTCTCCTGCACATATAAACACAGCCCGGGTGCAATAAAGCAGCTGTCATACCAGCATCTTGTCAACACGGCCTCTCTTACTTCAGCTGTCTAACAAAAAACATGAGGTCTGTAAAATGAATAGTATTATTAAGGTGTTAACCCTCTTTGGTAACAAATCATTAAAAAACATTTGTGATGTTCTTGCTTAAAATAACTCACTTTAACATTATCAACATTTTTTTTTCATTAAATAAAACTTTGTTGCATCAAGGCAGCATTGAACCATTGAAATTTACGTTTGACCTGATAGATGAGTCAGTGCGTAGTTCTGGTCATGTTGATCACTTTCATCTTAAAACAATTCCMGTYTTAAAATTTTAATAGGAGTTCACGTGAATGCAAAACTTTAAATCTTTACATCACAGTCCATTTAATCGTACACATAAAGTAACAGAATTATATGAATGTTTGCATAAGCCAAATAACAGCCAACTGTGACGCTTCTGCTGCAGCCCAGGGCATTTCCAGCGTAGACCTACATTTTTTATGTCGTGTTTGTGTACTTTTTATGTAGCCTGAAACTGACAGCAGTGTAACAGTGTACAAATCAGAGTTCATATAAAGTTCTAAAAACGTTTGAGATTGGAGTTTTAAAGGACTGTGTCTCATTGAGACTAGTCATTAGCTGAATGAAACTCTGTTTCTCCAAACGAAGGTCATTCAATAAGCTTCACAGATCTGAATCATCTGTTTCATTCAGACACTGGTTAGTKTATTGTAAATGTTTAAAATGAGAATATTGCTTTTTATCAAATTTTGTAGCAATGGTGTCATRCTGTAACTGTAAATAAATCTGCCAGGCAACACAAATAAAAGTTCACTTGAGTTGTTGAAAACCACTAACATTGACCTGMCACCACAAATAAAAGGAAGTTCATGTCTTAAAGATTCAAAATAATCCAGAAAAATCTGGGGCCAYGGCAGATCAGGGAAGCAGTCCTGTAATCCCAAGACTGTAGATTCAAGCCTTGGTTGATTCAAGAAAAGTGTCTGACGTAAAACAATTCATTTGCTGTGGTGACCTCGGGAGCAGCTGAAAGAAAAACATTTGAGAAAAATCTGAATCTGCCTGGAAAACATTAATGGACATGTCTTCATTATTGCTGAATTTGCTGTATATCAAAGTTATCAAATTGGTTTATTTTTATCAGTAAAAAAGCAACTTGTACTTTTTGAGGGACATCGTTAGTCCAAACATGTCGAACCCAGGGCCTTTTTCCTTCACAAATACTAAACCACTAAACGAGTTAAAAAACTAGTGGATACTAGCACACTAGAGGATAAACACCAACTTAGGGTCTGTCATTTAACCTGTAGCTAATTGGTCCGCTAAYGGTTTCCAAAGTTAGCTTCACTAATAGCCATTAATGAATTAACATAACTGTGCCCAGCACTGGTTGAAACTACAGGAGCTCAGCAGCTAAAATAAAATATTAGGACCATCTCTGGATTCTTCCAACAATTTACAACAATACAACAACTTTAGGGATTTTATCATTGACAAAAGATAAAAAAGACTTGTTTAAGTTGTATTTGCACTTACTTGCATGTTTTAGACAAAAAAACAGAAAGAAAATTAACTGCCTTATGTAATCTTTCATAACAACAGGGGGTAAATTCTGAATATGACAGAATCAAAAGTAGATTCTTCACTGTGATGTTTTATTGTTRTACTGTACCACTCCATGCGAAACTTGGCATAAACACTTTATACACCCGCTTTTAATCATCCGCTTATCACCATATAATGATGCCGTTATTAAAAAAAATGTAATCAGAAATATTGCTACATGTGTGCTCAATTTGCAATCACTGCCTGCACATTCTCCATAATTTGAGTCTCTGGAGTCCAGACGGTTGAGTGACAGCTGCGAGCTGGGTAATATCCATCAGTGTGGGTTTGTCRGCACTTCTGTGGGCTTTGTTGGTGGTATTGCGGGGGAGCCAACTGCAGCGAAGGCTTTTATGATGTGGCAGGAGTCGATTCTGGGAGTTTGTGCCAAGAGCAATCCAGATGTTGCTCTTCCAGCTGGTTTCAGGGGAATTCATACAGTGGATGACACAGAGCAGTGATTCCATTCTACAGGGAGAGCTGTCCACAGTTTGAAGCATCTGTTTCTGACACGTATTAGCCTGAAAAGTTTTAAGCCCAACAAACATAACCCAATGTCTCCTTTACCCATCCATGAAATTGGTTTCTGGCAACTCTAGAAAAATGTTGGACTCTTAAAAAAAAAAAAAGAAAAGAAAAGTCGCCTGGTCTTGCAGAAATGCCCCACCACCAGCTCTCAGTGTCCAGCCACAGACTGTAACTCTATAGCCTCATTGTCATGCTTCATATCCTCCTGGTGACCTCGAGCCCAATTATACAGCTGACCCAGGCTTGATGATATAACCTTGGGCGCATTTTGGGGTCTGCTGGGGCTCAGGGGTGGACCTTGTGTCGATCATGACATGTCAGSTCTTAGCGTTAACCAGGCACTTCCTTGAGTGGTCCCAGTGAAGGCTTGGAATGAAGAATAGCAGCCAGGCTACAGGCTTTAAATCTTTTTCATCTATCCACTATATCAAAACATTTTCCTTGTTTTTAAAATGTTAGTTTCAATAATAAGTGGAAAAATAAGTGACATACACAATACTTTTTTTTGTTTTTGAACATCCGTCAAAAACCTTTGACTTGCTCATTCAAATGAAGCACTATGCATTAATATACCATGCATGCAYGTTGAAATTTATTGCATTATCAGTCAAGCATGCTCAGCAGCTGCGGTGCATTAATGTGCAGCATGCTTACTATGCACTATAAACTCTGGAAGGACTGGCTGTCRTTGTTGAAGTGTTTCCTAATGGATGAGGAGTTGATTTACATTTCCAAAGGCACAAAGCCACAAAGGAATTTCTACACAAGATTCAGCTGAAAGTAAAGGTTAATGGTCCGTCAGGTAAACGTGGTGCGATTTTATTTGGTCCGAGTTGCCAACATTTCAGGCCAGAGCATAGATTTGGAGCTTAGCAAAGCATCTTCAACCAAAACGYCAGCTTTGCTAAATCATAATCTRCTAAATAAAGTTATAGCTTTGCTAAGTCATACCCCACTAAATATATAAGAAAAAATAGCAGGATCAAACACTAAACAAACAAATAGAAATGATCAGTTTACAATTTACAGGCTTGCCTGGTTTTAGCATTAWGTCTGTTGTCAGATCAATCAGGCTAAAAACAAAAGTCACAGAATTTACTGCACATATAAGGTTGTGTTTGAAYCATTCAAATGTAAATAATTTATCAGATTTATTGTTTAGTAAATGGTGGCTTTACTGCTGTATGATGTGGATAAAAAATGGATGATAATTTATTATTTTGATGATCATTTAATCCAACACCGTTTGTCTTTGACAATATAGATCAACAAATGATAAAAAGTAAATTCAAGGTAATTTTGTACAATAATGTACTRCTATATGGCCACAGATCATTCTGAATTATTCAGCCAGCAGATAAGGATTTTTTTTAAATTGGAATACTGTTCAAAACAGTTAAAGTATTTCTAACAAATTTAAAATAGATATAATTCATGATGAGCAGGCAAAATCAGATTAATAACTTGACCTTGTAAATCATAACATTTGTAGGTATTACTGAAAAAAAATTATAATGTTGAACTCCTGCATTCTCTCTGGAAAAATAAATATGTTTGACTCTTATAGTAAAAAAGATCAATCAACCCTTTTTTATTACAAAAAGAAAAGACCAGACACTTAGTTTTTTCTTAAAATAAGATTTTTAATATTACTTATTATCATAAAGATATATTTACACACTTTACAGAAATAGAAAATAAAAACACAAAGCTACGCATGAAAGGAAAAAATAAAATAAAATAAGTACTCCAAGAGCTAAAGCTTATCTTTTATAAATTAGAAACCAAAGGTTCAAATATGTACACAGTATTTCAACCATTTCTGATACACTTGTTTTATTTATTTATTTATTCATGTCATTTTATTTTTGCCCAGTTCAACATCGAAACAGAGACGGGGGACTGTACATTTGGCCTGGTGAGTAGTAATATGAGCAAACACCATGAACAGAAGAGAAGGTTCAGGAGTAATACATCGTCATTAGACCTACTAACACTGTTGTGATGCTGTGTGAGCCGACAGACTGGATTTCTTCTCCGATTGTTTTGAGTGCCACCGTTTCTCAAACACAGTGGTGGCAAGAATGGAGAATGTGTTGCAATCGAGGCGGGGTAGTGAGGTTTGTGGGTGGGTTTGGTGGGGGGCAACCTGTGCTATTCTGGGTGTCCGAAGTCTCATTTTGGTGCTCCGAGGTAACGACAGCTCGTCGTCATTTCTCTCGAGAGTTAGAATCTGGTTATGCTCAGCCAGCGGAGGAGCGTCTGATTGAGTATCAGCCACTCGATCCTGCAAGACGCCCACCTCCAAGGCCAACGGTTTGATGGGATTAGAGATCCACGAGGTAAAAAATCATTGGAATGTTGTAGCGTGCCAGCTTTGCTTCCACCCCGGCCATCAGTGAAACATTTGATAAATATAAAAAAATAATAGAAATTTTATCTGGTAGAGAATGGAGAATAGAGCGGCTACAAGATTTAAAAAGAAACAAAAAGATGATTTCCTGTTGGGACTAAACTAACCTGCTTGTAACTCCTTTCCTCCACATCTCATCTCTTACACACTCCCTGACTAAATTAATTAAACAAAAGAGCAAAAACTGAAATTCTACCAGGAAAACGTGCTGACAAGTGCATAGAAACATTACTCAGGCCTTGTGATGGTCACAGAGAGGAGGGATTGGAAAAGAGACACTGAGAGGGGAAAAGGAATCGTTGCTCTTGTTGTTGGCCTTGCTGGAAAAGACCATTAAGGAAAATGGTTTTGCTCCCCGAGCGTAATGTGTCGGTTTACCATTTCAGTTTTAGCCTGAACACGCTTGTCCTTCTACACCACCAGGCCCATTAACCCGATGTGCTGCGAGCTATGATCTACGAGAAGAGAACGCCTGAAAGCTTTCACGTGTCCACGACATATTGTGCTGCAGACTACTTTTTTTTTGTTTGTTTTCTATTTTGTTACATCCACAAAAAGAAAGATACAGCTTTTCACTGTATTTAAAAAAAAGAAGTAAGCTTTGGACAACCAGCTAGACAAGAATCAGACAAAAGAAAATCGTCACAATACACTGGAAAACCATTCCATACCAAGAGACTCTTTGTTTTTAAGGGTGTATTTTTTTCCAGCAGCATAATGGAATTGCAAAAAAGTGCAGCCTTGCAAAAAAACAAAAAAACAAAAAAAAAAAAGAAACCCATACAGAGAAGTCTTGGAGCGAAGCCACGTCTGTTCGTTGGGACGAGTTAACACCAGAGGCTTTGGATCTGTGGGATATTTGGTTTTAGTTTTTGGATTTAACTGACAACCAGACTGAGATTTAAAAGCGTAAGTTGCTCTGGTCTCTGACGGTGAGGATACATTCATGAACAGTGCGGATACAGATGTCGCTCGGCTCCGTTACAATAACTTCTGAGATGGGGATAGGGGGTGGGGAGAGTGGGTATATATTGATTCGAGCCCCTTGCCGCGACCCGGTTCTACTTTCAGCATCCTGCGGCTTTGAACTTTCATATTAACCTATCATCTTCTCCAATAAGACATCCTGAGCGAAGCCGCCTCGCCTCTCCGAGGAGCGTTAATGAAATCTACATCTCTGTCTGTGAGGGGGGGATGAAAAAATAATGCTAGAACTGAAATTATTACACTTCACAGTGCCCTAGGATTTAATGCATTTTTAATCAAGGTGGGTGGTTTTAGATGYTCTCCTAATAAAAGCTTCTCGAGACTCTGCATTTTATTATATTTGCATGAGACGTGGCGAAGGAGAGGAAAGGGCTGAAAAATCTGGGTTAATTAGATGATCGTGTGGTCAAAACAGATTTGAACGAGATGATTTTACTAATTGAACTGAAGTTAATTAAGATACATGAAGACTTTCAGTAAGCAGTTCTGCAAGCCTAAGACACCAGAAAACAGCACTGTGTGACATGATCTGAATCAGCAGGGGTTCAAAGACTGGAAATGTGGGGCGGGGGTCAGAGTGTGAGCCAGTTTAACAATGAGCTCAGACTAAGTTGCCCCAGGATCTGTGTACTTTTTGGTCATTTGTTTCTTCATTTTAACAGATACTGAAAAATGAAAATTTGGATGGCTATTCTATTTTTATTTTATACTCCAAAAATGGAAAATTGTCCATCTTTTTATTTTTCACTTAGGATGGAGCTAGTTAAATACATACATGCAGCACAGAGGAGCAGGGAAAGGAGGACAGGGAGAGGTCTGGAACTTATTTCTATCAGAAGAGTGGGTTGTGAGGTGGTTATTTATTCTTACGAGATGTAAAACAAAATTTAAACTGAGATTTTGAAAAAATCAGTGAAAATTTTTTATGTCTGAAAATTTGTATAATTTATAAACAGTCCGTAAATACATGCTAGCTAACTAGTTTTACTTTTCTTTAACAAACTGCAGACTGTATATTTTAAATTAAGCTCATTTCCAAGGGTGGGCACAGCTAAACAAAAGGTTAGGTTCACTAACCACTAATCCGCTAAACAGTAATCTTAACTCTGTTGATGCTTAACTGCTAAACAGATGGTGGAAGCTAATGCTAACTTCTAAGACAATTTCCACTCAGTCTGTCTTCATCTTCCAGTTGAAGACTGGAGGAACTGACACAAGCCTATAGGTTTAATTTGAAGTTGACAGATCTGCCATTCTAAACCAGTTCCATCTAACTTGTGATACTTCCAGTTCACCCCTTTCAGAATAAAAGCATTTCTAGATCAAGCCTGTATTTTTAAAACAAATAGCAAATGCTTTCTCTACCATACCTCTACCATATTTTATGCATGGTCAATTTTTTATTACTTATTTAAATATTGTTAAGTTATTTTGTTTCTTTTTGACACTTTTAATTTTACGTTTAGCTGCTAAAGACGCTACTTGCTACACACATGATGCCTGGAGCTCCCGGTGCTTTTAGCACATTAAGCTTATGTCCAAGAGGTCCGTGGTGAGGAACGTGAAACCACAGCAAGTTCTGCAGGGCAACGTTGAGTTGCCATAACAGATCTAAACGGCTGCTTTGACAAAAATAAAAAGGTGGACCGTTTTCCCATTTTTGGARTTTAATATGAAAATAGAACCATCCGTTTTTCATTTTTCAGTTACTGTTTTTAAAATGAAAGACCAATATGGACATGGACCCCCCAGCCAAACGTGTGGAGGTCCATCTGAGAAAGATTTACTTTAGAATTTAATGAGCTCGCCGATCAAAACCACAGCCACCTGTGCTGTGGAGGGGCAGAATAAGAAAAAACTTAAGCAGTGACAACTAAATCTTTAAACAAGAAATAGTGGCTAAAGTGGTGAATAAATGTAAGATGTAGTATATGAAAATATGCTTGTATAAGTTTTTTTTACATTTTGTGTTGAATAAATGCACAAAATAGACTGCTCTAGTACAAGCCTCTATCACAGCACCCTGAGAACAAAAGGAAATAAAACTATAACACAGAAAAAAATAAACAGTAATATATTCCAGTACGATGGAAAGGCATAGCATTTTCTGTTTCTATGATAAATATTGGTCAAAAAGGTCACACCCGCCTGTGTGCCGAATGTAAAAAAATAATAATAATAAAACAGCCAGAGCGCTAACGGCGACGGCGTTAACAACCGGGTCGGTGTTCGCTTTGAAACGACTCGTTTTCCTCGCTAACGTCGCCACGACGCGGGATATCTGTTTGCAGAAATTTAAAATGCATAATGTATCAGTGTATCAAGACTTCAAACAAGAGGTAATGTGTTTCGCTCTATACCCTTTTTTTGTAATTCCTCCATTCCTGGCAGCATCGTGGAGAACAACTTTTTTTTTATCTTTTATTTATTTATTTTTTGTATTTGGCACTTCATTAAAAGGCAAAGGCGGTCTGTCGGAGCAAACTGCCACTGCCAGTTAACAGTCGTGTAGAGCAGCTGCTCGGGGCGAGAAAAGGCTGGGTGGGGGAATCGGGGACAGATTTGGGGGGGTCAAAGGACTCCTTCAAGGTGAGACATTTTACAGTAACCTTGTCAGAAACCCCTCCTCCTCCTTCCCCGAGGTGTTAATGAGTTCAGAAACACCAAAAACAGCTTTGGATCATAGAACGAGGGAATAATTCTGTTGCTTAAATAGATTCTCTTGACAACATGTGCTTTCTCTTCAGTCCAGCTTTACTTTGCATGTGGACGTACTGACGTTTTGAGGAACAAAGCACCATTAATAATGATCGTTAAGTGACGGATATAGTCTGCGKTGACGCCTCGTCTCCTTTTCGCAGCTCAGAGCGTCGTAACAGAACTTAAAAACGGACACTTTCTGTACGATCAGCATCCTCACCTTCTTGTAAAGTAGCTACGCTGCAACAAAAGTCAAGCGGCAGAAGTAACCTTGGATCTGAGACATGTGAAGAATACATCCAGAAGCTTTAAGACTGATTGTTTTGACCGGGCTCCCTCTCCACCACATGTCATGCAAAGAGTGCGAGACACTCAGAAAAGTTGCTATGGTTGGGCTCTAATAAGCAAAATACAATGAAAGAAAAGAAAAATAAAACACTTGGGGTAAGACAGAGATAAGTAAGCAGTGAGGGAGAAAGAGAGAGACAGAGAAATAGAGTCTGATAGCTCAGGCTCAACAACCCCCACCCACACTTCCCCCTGCCTCCTTGTTGTTTTTTTCCTCCTGGAGCTGAGGGTGAGCGGCTAGTCCTGATTTTTTTTGTGTGTGGACAGAGTTGCTTGGAGAACCAGCAGGTGCTATGGACATCACTCTTCAGGCTGGGCAAGCATAGGCCCTTCGTTGCAAGGCCCCCCAAGGCAAAGGAAGAGCATAGAAATCAGAACCTGGGGGAGGGCGCTCAAAGGAATGCCTGCAAGAAAAGAAACAAGACAGAGAAAATGCAATTAGCATAATTTGTTTCTTTTTTACTTAGTCATGCAGCCATTTAGACAAACTAGTTCCGCTATTAGCCGTTAGCCGTTAGCTCGTTAGCGGGACGTGCCTTGCACTGTRATTAAAGTTCCCATTGAAACATGACAAGGCACAAAAATAAAGCAAGCACTCAAGTTTAAAAAATGCATTTTATTTACTTTACAATATGTTTGATTTTTTTTTTATTCAGCTAACAAATGTCACATTTAAATTGTTTCTCTGCTCCCTGACTTTGTGTGACACAGATTCATGAGTCATTCAGCCTTAACCAWTTTATCAGATTTCAGTTTCTAAAAGTTTGTTTTTCTACTCTGCCGCTTGTCGTCACGAAGACTGATGTCATTTGATGTTACGTCAGTGAGACAGAAAAAGAAAAAAATGCTTTTCAGAGGAAGTAAAATTGTCATCCTTCTGGATACAAAGCAGACATTGAATATTCTTTGAAACAAAAGTGACTCTCAGTGAGCTCCTGTCGAAGGTTTCTGTCTGCTATCGAGTAAATCTGGAAGAAAACATAGCCTCAGACATGTTGCAACCAGATTTCACGGTGTTTGAATGGACAGTGCAGCAGGGTGTAAGACAAACAAACATACTGTATATCTGAATGTGCAACACAAGCCCAACATTAAACCACACTATGGAGATGGGATCATTACTTCACAATATAGCAGTTTTTTTTATCTTCTTTCATCTTTTATCTCCTTTTCTGTGAATGTTTCAGGAGATTCAAACAACACAGTCCATTTACTGATAAGACCCTGCTCTTCTTTCACAACATCATTTTTTCACATTCCTGTAATGTGATGAGAACTGATTTATGGTGCATCTAATCTCCGCTCTTGTTATTTGTTGTGTTTTATTTTTTATTTTTTTGCATGATGTCACCACAACAAATCCCTCAAACTACATCTTTTTGTGAGTCTACGGGAGGAGAAACAGACCTGTGATCCACAATATTTTTGAGTTTTCTCACACTCGAGGCCACGAGGGGTTTCCACAAATTGCCCCGTGGCTTTAAATTTGTAATATCCTGTCGTCCTCTGGACCGACGCTGGCATGTCTCAGATCCAAGAGTTCGGTTTAATCTGAGTCTCCTTAGATGCTCAAAGAGGTTGACCCAGGATGCCATCTTTCTTCTCGGAGCTGCTCACATCTGGAATGTGTAACGATGAGAAAATCCAACGTTGCCTCAGGTGTCACAGGGAATAAAAGATGAGCTGCCTCCGACACTGAAATGGGGTGATGCTGCTGAACAGCACAGGCAGCAGGATGGACGACGTCAAGGGAAATCATTCAGTTTTTCATTCCCGTATAAACAGTGTTGCAGTTTTGTTCGGTCCAGTAATGGCGCGGGGTCTGTCTGTGTTCGAGACTCAGTCCAGCTTTGATCAAACAAACTGTGTCTCCAGCTGTTTCCAGAGGTGATTTTCCCACCATCAGCACAGGCGGGAGAACAAAGCAGGAGACRTGAGGAAGAACAGAACCTTTCAAGTTGATGTTTTAGAACTGGAGACTAATTCATGCTATGGATGGCAGCTCTCGTCCCAATTCTCCGTCAGGCTGTGATCATATTCTGACCAAATATAAATAATAAAACTCAGACTTAAGACTCTAAAATACAACTAATAACCGCTTAGTTTTTGTTGTGGTCAAGTTGTGGTAAATTGGCTTCTAAACATAACAGAAAAAGTGGAAAAATAGTGTTTGTTTATWTTTTATTGTAACAATGGGCCTCATGCAAGAACCGTTCGTACGCACAGATTTGTTCTTAAGTTGTGCGTACGAGTGATTTAGAAGAATTTGTGGCATTCACCAATGTTTTCATATTCTACGATTTTCTTCAGATACGAACAAAATTCTCGAGTGGTCCAGACCTGTCGTATATTTTACGAGCAGTCAGTCTGCTGTTATCCAGAGGGGTTTTCCTCCCTAATAACTTTATATTTCATTAGTTTGAAGATATTTTGAGTTGAAAATAAATTACACTCTGTGGTTATCTTGACAATATGCTATTCTGGTTGAATTAGAGTTATAATTTTAAATGTAATAATTTAGACTAACAATATAAATTGTCCGTTTGTCCATTTTCCGCCGCTTATCTGGGATCAGGTCGCGGGGGCAGCAACAAAGAGACCCCGCTCTCCCCAGCGACACCTTCCAGCTCGTCCTGGGGGACTCCGAGACGTTCCCAGGCCAGAGGGGATACATAATCCCTCCAGCAAGTCCTGGATTTTCTCCAAAGTGCCAGACTTATTTTGAAAACATTTTAAAAGGCTTATTTCAGAACCGCAACTGAGACCACTTGAGACGCGCTGAATAAATGAAAATGATTTAACACAGTTGTTTATACCATTAGCAGCTCTTTTTATTCCACAGCTGACCTGCTAAAAATGACAGATTTTCTTTTCTGGATCTCTGACAGACGGACTTCAATCTCTGAACTCGTAAAGTTCTTCTTTTTAGTTTTCGCTGTCATTTTCATGAATGGACACTTCCTTGTATCTGAGGCAGGAAACATAGCCTTATATGGTGTTTTTGGGGTGGTAATTATGCTAATCTCTCACGTGCACGAGCAGCTGGATATGAACAGGTGGAATTTACGCAGCTCATTTACACACTTTTCAGGAATAGAAAAGAGTTTGTTGAATCTGACGTGACATGTTCGTACGAACCCTTTGTATGAACAAAAGTAAGAGAAATTTAGGATAAGAATACGAACATGTTCTTGCATGAGGCCAATTGCTTCTTGGCAATAAATCTTATACTGTGCAGTTGTAAAGTCTTTTTTATGGTGCCACATTTGTAAGTAACATGCATTTGTGGATTAAGCAGCTAAGTTGAATGTAGGTTGTACGAAAATTTGATTCTGCTATTGACTTTTGTTTTGAGCTTCTGGTAGCCCAGCTGCTGATTGCAGTGGTTTTTACTCGAGTAAATGTAAAACAATTTACACATTTTTTAAAAAGAAAATGCGTAAATTGCTCATTTTGCTCAACCTGGTTTAGTGGAACCATAAGTAAATTCAACAATTTTTTTTAGAGTGCATAAACAACAAATTTCATATGAGTCGTATTGGTTTTGTAGCGTATGATGAGGTGTTAAATTTTAAAGAAGTAAAAAGTATAATTTTTATGTTACGAATGTAAGGAAATAAAAATAAATGTTCAGCTTTAAAAAAGATACATGGTAAAATTACAGAAAATTATGTAGGTACTGTAACAAAGTACTTTGTTCATAAAACATAATAGGGAATAGAGAAAACGGAACAGATTGAAAAATATGACCCAAACAGAATATAAAGGTACTGTATTTACACAGCACCAAGAGAGACTAACTTCAACTTCTTCCCTTTTAGAGACTCCATCTACACAAAAAGTGGGTTTAGTCTGATATGTCCCCTTTAAGGGGAAATAAACARGCTGTCTAACAGTATGAGATTTCTTGCTAAAAAGCATTGTTATAACAAAGAAATAATCAACCAAGCACATTTTTAAAAACTTTTGTGTGAAGTCTAAATGGGGAGACAAAACCCTCCTTGAATGAGGTGAACTATGAACTCAGCATTAATGAGCGGAGCCATTCAGAGATGGAGAACAAAAAAAAGGAAATCTTCAGCATGTTGTGGTTTAAGTGGTGTTTGCGRAGCCTGCATTGTGACTCACTGAGCCATTCACTTTTACAGAGCTTCACAGCTTCCTGAAACTCCTTTTATTACTTGGCCGGCGTTCTGGCACTGAGCATCAGCTCTAAACACTCGACTCAGTCAGAGGATTCTCACCATTTATTGGCAGAGGGAAAGTTTAAGATCCTGCACTATCTTGGCTCGCTGGTTTGAACCGTCTTTAGACGTCTCAGTTTTGAACAGCAGTCCATAAAAATACAATAAACGCTGATTGTACATCATTTTCTATAGATTGTAAAACATCTCTGGGCTGCTTTAAGAAGCGGTACTTTCAAACTTCAACGGCTTTGATCGTTTCTCCTTTAAAACTGATGAACAAAGCTTTGACGCTCTCTGATTGAATTCGCTTCTCACTATAGATTTAATTTACGATGGACCTCTGCAGGTCAGCGTGGATCAGTTCAGACCTCCTGCAGGGATATTGTGCCTCTCATATCATCTGGAGGAGACTTCTTGTTGCCTCTCACACCCGCATCCATATGTTTAAACCTAAATGCACATTTGATTGAGGTATTTTTACTCATATTTTAGTGTCTCATGGACATTTGATTTGATTGAAATCTGTTTGCGTTCAGTGTAAAATAAATAAAACTTGTCAGGCAAGTCATTTTCTCATTTTTTTTAACTTGACAGCAAGTTAAACATTCCCTGTGCTGCAGCGAAACCCAACTCTACAAGTTGTTATTTTTGGAGAAAAGTTTTTTATTTGCTTAATCGTGCGTTGAGTAAAGATTTATTCCTGCTGAAAAGTGGTCGGGTTTCTCAGAATAAATGTCCTCTGTGATAGGAAATAAATGACAGAGATTTTAACACAACCTTTGTCGTTTTAGGCAGGTGTTCAAGCTGGTAGGTGAAGTCCAGCCGTCCTCTGAGGTCCAGGCTTTCAGAGCCAACAATAACATCCTTCAGTTGACTTTCAGACCTGCTGCAGTAGTTATTAACTTTTCACTTTGTTGTCAAAAGAATCCAAACTAATTCTGCCAGCAAAGTATTTCAGCACAGTCAGCATTTATGATTTTTAAAAGATATTTATTTTATATCCTCTTGAGAAGTTCGCAGCCCTGACTTGACAGAAAACTGCCTCACAGGGCGAACTCGGCTAAGACGGGCATATTGTTTTGTGAAAAATACTCCACAGAGGCTAGAGGTCTTTCCTGATCTGCGACAAAGATTGTCGTTGGCAAAACTCACCTTGCTCTAGAACGGCATGGGCCCCTTGTGGGAAAGACGGGGCCGTGGGCGTCTTCTCTTGGCCGGTCTGTGGGTCTGACCGCCTCTCATCGGGTTCTGCTGCGCCATTTTTCTCACTGTAGCTGTCTCCTCCAGCCCTCTGCCATGCTCTGTGGAGGCCATGGGACCTGGAGGACAAACACACAAAAATAAGTTGGATAATGTTACAAAATATGCTGCAAACAGAGCTGCACACTATATAGTTTGAGTGGATCTTTGTTGCAATATGCGCGCATAATTGTCGGAAACAACAAGAAAACCTTTAAAGAAGACACTGAGGGCAACGTCTTTCATCATGAAATGTAAACAAAAAATGAGGTGACGTCAGAGGATTTTTCAGAATTTCAGGATTTCAGAATGTCCTGCGCCTTTGGAGCGGTCTCTAGTCCACATGGCATTCACATATGCATTCGGACCGCATCAGAATTCTCTTGCAACTGAGCCGAGACCTAGGTGCGTAGGCAAACCAGAGTTTGTCTTTTTGGTCCGTAACAGAGTTTGATTATGTATTCGCACCTCCCCAAACGACACAGACTTTCTAGGCAAACAAACTAGAGTTTGATTTAAAGCGGACTAAACTGGTGTGAATGCACCCTAATGACACAGAGGTTACACGTTGGGTGGTAAAATGCAATTCGTGTTTGCACATGATATAAGGAAACGTGCTCAATAAAAGCAAGCAATGAAAGATAACAAAAATAACTCAAATATAACAAATGACAAAAAGAGGTAAGATCAACAGCATAATTTAAAGTTTTCTTTAAGTCATCAGTTGAAATTTCCTGAATTTTTTTTTTTCAGATTGCAGGGCTAGAAAATATTGCAGTGTCAGCTCTTTCCAAAATTGTGCAACCCTACTACAAAACTTCTTCTAACTCTGGGTATCACAATGTGATCGTAAACCAAATCCATCAGAGCTTAAAGCAAGTGTGTCGCAAAATCTGAGCAGGGATCAGATGGATGATGGTTGAGGAAACCAGAGACAAGTCTGAATAAGTGTGTGTGTGTGTGTGTGTGTGTGGGTGTGTGTGGGTTGGTGGGGGGGGGGGCTTCGTTAAGGCCACCCAGCGTTTCAGCTCATCAGGGCATTGTGGTCCAACAGGAAGGCAGAGAGGAGAAACTAAACCCTGGTGTTTCACGTCTCCATCACTTTCTCTGGAGTTTACAAACGTCAYGCCTCGTGGAGGTGCGTTGTGTCGGAGGAGCTTTAGGATGGCTTTAAGACCGGCATGTGGATATCTTAGCTGTGTGTTTTTAGAGTTGTCCCAGATGTTTTCAGTCATCTCCCAATAAGTGTGGCCTGATCCCCCTAAGCCCCTCATTTTCTTCATGGTTTGGTCCAGCCCCAAGAGCCTGTGTGACCTCTCCACCTAACGCAAACTGACAGATGTCCTTTGTTTTATAATACATGTAAGATGTGTTTGGTCAAGAAAAAGCAATAAAACTCAGATAAAAGTGGTTAGATCTAACACATAAAAAGTGATGAATTTGTGTTTTTTATCAATTCATCTCCTGAGTTATTGAAGCAAAGCTGAATAAAAACAGTCCTGCATTCCTTAGAACCATATATCTGTCATTAGAAGTTTACAAAAGTTGATTCCAAACTCCTCCTGGACTGAGCGATGCATTATTCTGACTCTTCTGTGCTCTAGTTCCCTTTGAGTTTGAGACAACAAACAGTTCGGAGCAAAACCACACCAACTTTTCCCTTTTTTTTGTGTTCTTCACCCATCAGGAAGCTGATTGGCATTATTCACACGAGGTCATGACATTCCTGTCTCCTCCCCTCTGAGAGGCTGGCACCATTTTTAGAATTCCCCAGAGAACGACCTTCTTTGGCTTTTTCAACAGCCTGGGTGAGGACACAGCTTTAGATAAGTCAGCCGTCTGTCTGCRAAGGCTTGTAAAAAAAAAAAAAGCACACAGAGGCTAGCAGCTGAGCAGCTTAGAGAAACGGTGATGATGCTAAGGTTTGCAGTTTCTTTAAGATTCTTTTAATCAATTGGCAAGCTGCTGAACAGACAAGCAGCTGCAACCCTGAGGGTACCGAATGACGGACAGTTTTTGGGCTGATTCGGAACAAAAAAAGACAATCATTTTCTTTAACACAGTGCAACTTTCTTCAATCACAGTACCCAAAACACAATAAGGCGAACAAAGTCTTTATAAACAAAAACTTTCAGCTGTGGCTCCCTGAAGGCTTTTGATTTATGAGAACAACTTTCCTAACAAGCAGGAATAAGGCTTTCAGATTTAGAAGTAAAGCAGACTCAGACTGCTTGCTAAATATTTTCACTGAATATCCTTGAAACGCCAGACATCTTAAGTTCCATTTCCACACTAATCCTCTTCTGTATCACACAGTATATTTATAGGCTGTTTCACTTAAGCAGACAAACCAAACAAAGACAAAAGTGAACAGATATATTTCCACGTCTCAAACACGTTCCCCCACTTTCTCTGACTCTTTCTGGAGGCATTCAGCTCTCTTCTTTCAAACCCAGAAGTTTGGATGTTTGAGTCGAATCTGAGGCTGTATTTATGAGGAGGTCCTGTTTCTCCTCACTTTCCCCATGAAAAAACAAAACAAGAAACGATGCAAATCCTAACACAACCAAAACTCAAGAATAGCATTAGACTTGTAAACAAAACCAGTCCTCTTTTAGGATTTTACCTGCAAATGTTTCAGTATACTACAAGTATTCAGGAAAGAGAGATAAATTCATCAAATTTTGTCAAAATGGTTCCAAAGATAACTTTATTATCCAATTTTCACCTTATACTCCAAAAAYGGGAAAAAAATAAATAAATAAAAAAGGCTCATTGTTTTTGTCAAATTGGAAGTCATTAAAGCAACTCAGCGCTGTACTGTGGACGTTTCAGTCATCAGTGATGAGAGGATTCAGGACAGACAATCGGTTTTCAGGTGTAAACTAGTGAACTTATATGTTTCACTAGTTAAAGTTCATTATTTTTTGTCCTGTGTTGTTTCATAAACATAACCTAGCTCCACCTAGGTTGCCTACCTGGAGCTTACTGCAAACTGTATTCTAGGCTAGTTAATTCCTTCAATTTGATTTTCAATATCTAAAAATCAAATGGCCAAATTTTAAACATGCCTGTTTCCTCTAACCCAGACGAAGCAACCATGAAGTGAAGACAAACCGATCAAAACTGAAATAATATGGAAAGGAAGTTGATTGACCATTGAGCAAGCAATTTGTTTCAACCGTAAGTCTTAAAACTGCACTGCCAACCTGCAGCTGATGTTTAGGTTACAGTCTGTGCTCAACCCCCAACC